GAGCATTAATTACATGAAATTTTGACTCAGTTTTTTTTCAAACTGGGGATGGTGATGGAAGATGGATACATGGGATCAGTACTCATCTCCTGATGAAAACATCCAAGCACAAACTTCCTGCTATGCAGGGAAGGTACTGTATTTTCTGTTTGGCAAGAAAAGCTAACTGAAGGAGCATTCTTAATGCCTCTAGTGTTATTTTCTGTGGTATTTGCTTTATTTTTCCCAGGAGATTTCTAACATTAAGTGCCAAAAAAACCCAAACACTTAAGGTCATTGTCACAAATATGGGCTGACAGTTATTATTTCTTATTCCTTACCTTCCCTCTGACCTTCCTTCCATGCTATTTTTGAGCAAAGGAGACTAACTACTGTGCCTTATCTGTCTTCAGTATTTCATATTTGCTTTCAGGATATCAGCTAGATCCACGCTATTGAGATTTAGCTCTCAGGTGTGAATTTTATGAGCCTCATATGGATCTAAGTATGACATATTGAGTTGGAAATAGCAATTTAGGGGGAAAAACAACAAGTAAGACTCCTGGAAAGAAACTGTAGAAGCATACACATGAAAGAATGGAAAAGCTGAAGGAGACTTGGCAGTATATTTGCTGTGATATTGTCTTTGATTTTACAGTAAGTCCATAATTTAGACAAACAGTTGGAATGTATTAGATGGTAATACAATGTATTCTGTATCTGATTGGGTCAGAATTATATAAATCTGCTATTGTGGCTCATTAGTTGAATACTTAATGCATCAAAAGTATTTGCCTTTCTCATAGATACACTTTTCCAGACTGTATATCTGAAAATGTCTTCATTATTTTGGCCTATATCTTGCAAAACAAAACCAGGCTATTTATCTTTGATTTTTTTATTTTGTAGCTAAAACAATTCCCTATTAAAAAAATACCCTCCACCCCCTCAAAACTGTTTAACACGTAAGTGCCCTTTTGTTTTCCAATTACCAGAGATAGTATTTTAAGATTAAAAAGTGGGAAAATGAAACTATAAAAAAGCATGTACAGCTTCACTTTCATCACTGGCATTTATTATCCAGCCACTGTCATATACATACTTCACTTGATGCTAAGTGTTGAGTTGTTGCCTCCAGCTTTTTTCTTAGAGAATTTTATTAGCTGCTCATGCACTGTGAATTCCTCCATTTCCTTCCTCCCCTATGATTTGTCTTTTCATGTCGGTCTGCCTTAGTTTCTTCTCTTTTTCTGTTTTGATCTCCATCAATACATTTTTTTCTAGTTTAGCTTTAGTATTTTCTTCCTTTTCTCTTTATATACTTTCAGAAAGCAAAAGATTTGTATATAATGTTAAATATAGAATCCTAATGATTTTCACAATTTAAATGGGGCTTAAAAACTAATAAAAGAATGATCAGCTGAAATGTCAACTTTTAATTTTAGCCAAAACAAAGCAATCAGTTTTTATTTATAGTTTCTTAATGTAATTACAATACTATTCAGCATATAACGATGTAACAGTTGGTGTTATTCCACCACACAAAAAAAAGTCTACACTCAATTTCTTCATAGCAAAATGGATTCAGACAACTTTATTAAACAGAGAATCAATTAGTCTTCCTTAGCTGAATATATTAGATATACCTAAATAAAAGACAGTTTTTTCCACATAGTATAGAATTCAAATCAATGTATTTGCTATTACTCCTGAACATATATGCACATGCAAATAAACATTAGAATGTTTTATTTGCACAATTCAGCTATATAAATAGAGCACCTTAAACTACTATATTACTATTCTCTCATTTAATTCAGGTTTGTTTTTCTTCTGACAGAAAGTACTCCTTACAGAGCATGGATCAAATGAGAACATTCTGGCACTGTGTTAATAAAATCCTACAATTCTATCTCCACTTAGTTTTCTTACCTTGTTTGTTCTAAAAGTTATTTGTAATTCCTTTGATAAAACTATTAGGTTTATTCACTATTAAATTGTCATCTTGGTAAATCAAAAATATCAAGATCTTTTTCTCTTTTTTTTTTCTGGAATGTCTGCAACTATTGATGGTGTATCATACCAGAAAAATGTCCTTGAATTTTTTGCTTATATTCCTTTTTTCTTTCTTGTGCATTATTTTAATTTTTCAAGTATTCTGCATGAAATATCTTTGTACAGACACTGTGCAGGCTGATGGGGTTGGTAATGAAGATGCCATAAACTCACATTTACTCCACAAGGAGGGAAGTGCTACAGAAAAATTTATTCTTGTACAGTTCTGTTACCTCACAAAGCACATTCATTTACGTTGTCTTGGAACACGAGTGGCTGGTATTCTTTCTATATGTTTCTCACTGTTTATCTTCTCTTGGATATCATTTATTTGGCACATTTTCTACTGGGAATATGTCAGCTGATAACTTCTAGGTGAATAATAGGAAAATCTGAGAAATTGACAGGTTGCATAGTGAACTGTGTGGGTACATATAAGAAAAAATTAGCTTATGCTAAAAGTATTTCTGATAATTGTTACTATCCCTTTCACATTGCTTTAGCACTACTATAGATTTGGTGTTGGTATCACAGCAAATAGAAACTTGCAAATATTTACATAATAAATTTTTTAGGACTTCATTTATGGACCTCACTTTGGTATAATACTAAACAGGAGCCTCATATTTTTAAATAAAGAACTATTTTAGAGAGTAATAAAGGGAGGACCAAATTATTAGTAAGATGTGCAAATTGAAGATTTTAGGAAGATGGTGTTAAAGGGGGAGGATAGATGCAATTCTATCTGTTGGAATTTTTACTTATTCTTGAACTATAACAGGATTTGTAGTAAGTTGTGATAGAATGAAAAGATTTTCAAAGTGTCATGTGGCAAATTAGCCCCACTGAGGCTGATTTGATAGCTGAGATAGCATGGGAAAAGTAAACTCTAAGGGTGCCTCCATAATTTAAAGTATTTATTTTGTAGTGCACTGCCTAAATTAATTTTATTTCCTTAGGGTTTTTCTATCTTCAAATTAAACTCCTCAAATGGTATTTGCCCTTTTAAGATGAAATTTTCCTCCTTGCTTTCATTAAGTAAAGAAAAGCTGGAATGCTCAATATTTAATGTGGCATGTGGACAATGAACTCATACATGTAAAAAAAAAAGAATAAAATTATATATATATTTATGTTTGAAAGTGTACTAATGTCTACCAAAGTAATGTTTTAAAATTTTGGAAATGTGAATTAAGAATTTTGATTGGAGCTGTTTAGAAAAAACAAAATGACACAAAAAATGTGATACAACTTTAAAGTAAACAGAAACAAAAACTTCAGTCCTGAAGTGTGGCCTCATCAAGAATCAAGGCAGGCATTAATATACCTGCTGTATATTGTGAAAGGATTAACATAGATTAGCATGCTGATCTGTCAGCTACTTGATCCAAGCAAGACATGGATAGATAAAAGTATGTTAGAAAAGCAGCAGTGGTTCAGCACTTGATGAATTTATTAAAGTAGTTAAGAAGCACCACCACAGCCAAACCCAAGAACCTGGTCCTTTCTGTCCCCAGCCATATTGGAGCATTGAGTATTTGAGCACTGATTTGATCTACAGTACAGATAACACTCTTTACACAGTCTTTTAAACATAGCTTTCAATTTAGCAGTTAATATGTAAAACCTCTTGAGTTTGAGCCTTAGAGTCTATATCATTCAGTCACATGTCTATGTGTTAGTAATTTTTTTAAGAATTCTAACTTGTTTAATAGTTAACCTTTGCAACAGTATGCAGAAAAAAAAAAAGTTTAGCTACCCTTTTAAAACATGCCCCTATGTGTTTCTAAAAATATCCTCCATAAAGTTAACAGTGAGAATAGGCTTTACATATCAGATCTACAAGTGCTTTAATGATAATTTACTATACTAGAAAATAATAAGTGCTTGTTTATCACATCTTCAGTCATTACTCTGCCTCTATGCAGATTTTTTTTGCATTAATACCCTGATATCAGCAGGAAGTAACCTGCTTAAGGATTTTTTTTTTCTCATTCCTTATATTTCCCAGTATTGTTATGAGATAGAACTTGCATGGAAAATACTAAGTTCGATTACTGGTCTCATCTCTGTATCCAGGGGAAGAATGGCTTAGACAGAACTTGTCAGGTTGGCCAGACCGTTTTCATGCAGCAATCATCTCAACATTTTGCTCTTCATTTATTTAATTGCTGTTATCACAGTTTCAGGCTCACTGGAAAGCTAACAAGTGAAGAGCTTGCAGCATAATTCAGGTGTTCTTCTATAAAGACACCAGAGAAGAGTGCTGGCTAGAGAGCAAGGAACCTTGCAGTTTTCTGTGCTGTCATACTTCCTCCATGATGGATTTGAGCAGCATAAACCAGAGCTCCCGAAAAAGTGTTTAATCATAATGTCATGGAAAGAACAATTTCACATTCAGAGGAGAGTACATTCATATCATAAATGCAAATAAAACAAAAGGCATGTCACTGCAGGTTTGATTCTTATTCTTGCTAAGATTTTGGATGTATTCATTTTTGCCAGATAAATGTATGTTGCATATACTTTTCTTTTTCTTAAGAGATTTATACCTTAAACTGAATAATTTGTCCCTCCGTATCCTTTTTGATTATAGGCCTTACTATTGTTTTTTCCTGTTTCTAGTAAAAAGTAGATATTTTCGCAGAATCACAGAATCATTGAATATTCTGAGTTGGAAGGGATCCAACTCCCAGCCCTGCACAGGACCATCTCCAAGAATCACACCATGTGCCCAAGAGCACTGTCCAAATGCTTCTTGAGTGACCTCTGTCAGGCTCGGTGCTGTGACCACTTCTCTGGAGAGTCTGTTCCAGTGCCCAAACACCCTCCGGGTAAAGAATCTTTTTCTAACATCCAGCTTAAACCTCCCCTGACACAACTTCAGGCCATTCCCTCAGGTCCTGTCACTGGTCACCACAGAGAAGAGAGCAGGATAGAGATGTTTCAAATGACAGCACAGGGTCAGGTCATAGGAGACCTGCTGAAATAAGAGAGGGAATTAATAAAAATGAAAATAAAGGAATGTTAAATTTACAGCTTAACTGTTTATCTTCATACATTTGATTCAGGGGTATGTTTGGAGGGTTTTTTTTTTTAAATTTACTTGGAATGTTGAAAGAATTCAGGTTAAACAATAAAATACAAATCACAAAATCATTCTGTAATACAGAATTCATACTTTTAATGCAATGGTTCAGAAATTAAATATGGAAAATAAATTTGAGCCTTAAAAATTGAGCTTATAGAGAAATACTGTTCTTTCCTATATATATAAAGGAAATTTTGGCTTGAATTAAATCTTACAGTTCAAATGATGGTGCTCTCAGCACTTGTCAGGTTGTTTTCTTCAATGAGCTAATCAACTAATAGTTATTGTAAAGTAGTTTATTGCAGAAGCACATCAGTCTCAAAAGCAAAAGTCACAGACAGTAAAGTCCATTCTAAGTTTTGGTATAGAGTCCCAAACAGAAGCAGAAGCTGCGCCCAGAGGTCCTGGCAGGGCCGATGAAGCTGCAGCTCCTGTTTTCTTCTTGGGTGTTGATGATGGCAGCGAGAAAGCAGGAACAAAAGCAAAGCAAAAGCAATGGCAAAAAGCAAAAGCACCAGCTCTCCCTAATGCATGTTCTAATATAGAAACTTCCCAATAAGCTAAGACACGAACTTGGACCATTACTTCTTAACCTATAAGAATTCTAGTTTTTTAACATGCTATGTTACGTATAAACTATGTATACAGTCTATCTTGTTCTATCTAAAAAATGTAAGCAATATTTTTAAAATAGCTTTATTATGTCTAAAACTATGTTCTTGGAGCCTCCATGGAACACCTAGTATTTAAGACTATGTTTTTCAACTTTCACTAGAACTCGTACTTCTACACTGGTATCTAAGACCTTTTACTTACTAAAAGCACTTAAAACCTATTCCACTTACTTACTTGCTTGCTTATACTTAAACTTATATGTAAGTAACTTAACATACAAACTTACACCTCTACTTTATGTGTGAGTGGCCTAACATACTTCAATCCATCCAAAGGTTTTAATTCAATCTCTGCACTTTGAGTTCTCTCTGAACAGTTCAGAGAAACTCCTGCCTTCCTGACTTCAACAAGGGTCTGTCCCTCCTCTTCCCCTCCCAAGAAGCTGTAACTGCACTGACGTCTCCCCTCAGTCTCCTCCAAGCTGAACAGACCAAGTGACCTCAGCTGCTCCTCATGCAGCTTCACCTTAAGGCCCTTCCCCATATTTGTGGCCCTCATTTGGACTCTAATTGACCCTTTTTTACATTGTGGTGTCCAAAGGTACACATAGTATGCAAGGTGAGGCCACCTCAGTGCAAAGCAGAGTATTCAAGGTGAGGTCTCATCAGTACAGAGCAGAGTAGAATAATCGGGCAGCAGAATCTCCCTTTGCAAATTTTTACATGTGATGACCCTGTGTGGATTTTATATATTAGACATGGTCTGAGTCAGAATAAACTGGTGATATTGCAGATGTTATGCCTTCACAAAGATCAGGAGGAACTTAGTCCAGTTCTCTGTAGGGAAAAAATAAGAGATTTTTGATCAGACTCTTGAAAATAAAGTAAAAAAAAATTAGCAAGTATCAGTAGGAAATGTTAGTGTGATTCTATACTAATTATGTTTCTTGTTTTCTGCCTGTTTATTGGAGAGAAAACCTGTTGTTATATTTATAATGGCTGGTTAAATGAAAGGTAGTGCTATTTGTTGTATGGATGAATTTCAGTAAGTTTATAAGTAAAACCAAATATGTGTTCAAAAATATACTTACACTTACTGGCATTTTTTTTCCCCAATTTTGCATGTATTTCAAGGAGACATGTACTATTTCCACTTGAGTGTATACTGGTATTTACTGTTTTTTTAATGCATAAATACAATTTGGCAAATCCTAATTATTCAAGGAATTGCAGAATTGTTTAGATTGGAAAAGAATTTCAAGATCCTTGAGTCCAACTGTTAACCCAGCCCTGCCAAGCCTACCCCTAAACCGTGTCTCTAAGCACAACATCTACACATCTTTAAATGCCACCAGGAATGCTAATTCAACCATTATCTTTGGGCAGCCTGGTCAAATGCTTGACCACTCTTTTAATGGAAAAGTTTTTCCTAATATTCAATCTAAATCTCACCTGGCACAAGTCGAGGTCTTTTCTTGTGCTATTGCTTGTTACCTAGGAGGACAACTGCCACCTGGCCATGACTTCCTTTCAAGCAGTTGTAGAGTGATAAGGTCTCCTCTGAGCCTCATTTTATCCAGACTAAACAACTCCAGCTCCCTCAGCCTCATTCCTCATTAGAATTTGATGCATTTAATGCAAATAAAATAATAATAATGACAAATAATAACCTTTGTGCATGACAAAATTTCTTAAAATTTACTGCTAGTTTCTTTTATTGGAAAACTGTATGTAATGGAGAAATCTAGAATGCTGTATGAAATTTCACATCTGATCAAATTATCATCTCAAATTTGGCTTTGTTGAGATTTTAAAAAATCCAGTAATAAGACTCAATTTGTTCAAGATCATAGGTGAATTACCTCTTATTTAGTAATTGGAGTCTGTTTTCTTTCACTTTCTATTTAATAGGCTCTATTGATTTAAAGGATAAACAAGGTCTATTTTTTTAAACGTTTTTTAACATTTTTTATTAATTGTAATTATATTGTGTAACCTAAAACTCGGTATTTCCTAGCTTGTTTTATAAGTCTCTGGGTGTTCCTGTTCATAGACCTTAATCAGTGTTTAAATCACAGAACAATATACTGATTTGGACTTTAGAGATCTGCAGCATCCTCTTCTTGATTACCAGTGTAAATTGCTTAAGGGGTTAGTGTATCTGCATGAAGCTCTTCCCACATTTGTGCTCTTAAAGGCCTTGTCTTTGCACCTTTCCTCATGTCTTAGAGCTATATAGTAACACCTCTATTATATTAAAGGAAGCAGACATATTAAGATCTGTGTAGTACTTCCACTGATGCACATAGGAAGGAACCACTGGACGAGTTCCTATCTTAGGAATGAGGCATGATGAAGAAGCTTCTTTTCCAGGACATGAAAAGACATTTAATTTCTTTCAATTATCTGCTGAGAAAAGGGAAAATAGGGCCTAAAGCATCGCTGGCAGTTTACTGCATAAAAATTTAAATCACAATGGGGGTCATTATGCCTTTTGAGATTTTCATGCATTTCAGAAAAAAGAAGCACCTGTTATGATGATCATCCCTTTCCTTTCAAGATGGCAGGTAAGAAGGCAGATTTCACAGCATGGTTTTATTCTTTACCCCCATTAGTGCTAACTTTCCTCAATACAACAAAAGGAAATATTTTTAACCTGGTGAACAGCTTAGTAATTTAAATAAGTTATCACTGGAACATAATTTGCTTATTGATATTTCTGAAATATGTATAAGCAAAGACCTGTGCACCATGGTAAAATATTCAGGATTGAAATGAGGCATAAACAGAGGCTTCACTGCAAGAATGAGATGTAGGTTGCTCTAGTTGCTATGAAAGTTTAAAATGGAGACCAGCACATTAGAGAAACTCACCTTTCTGCCTGAGGAGGAAAACATCTTAGGAGGAGATCATTCATCACTAAGCAGTTCTCATTTTAAATTTGGTATTGAAATGGATGGAAGACAATGACAGATCATGTAAAATGTGACGTTTAAAGCTATGGAAATAAGAAATTTATATTTCCTCTGGACTCCAAGATTGATTCTTCTTTTACGCCTGTCCTGTTTGGCAAAGCACAAGACCTCTCTTTTCATGGAGTTCACAGACTGTGATGGAGAGTTTTGTTCATGCAGATTTTAGCCCGGCTGCAGATGTCATTCTTCTAAGCCATCTTCTCAATAATTTAACATTAAGTACCTGGCAACAAGTATAAGTGAAAAAGATAAAAAATGAATTTATTTATTCAATCAAAATCCAGAAGTTTCTAGAAGGAAAATCTAGGGATTTTAAGTAAAGATGAAAAACACTTTTCTTAACTTCACAGGTACATCTTGCAGGAACTTGCATCTACAGAGCATTAGCAGAGTCTCAGCAGGTGGGAAAATGAAAGGGAGATAGGACAAGGTCCAAGTAGTGCCTCCAGTTGCCCTAAGAGAATAAATTAGGCTATGTTTACATTAGCATTAGTACAGTGCACCACAAGCAGCTTTATACTCCAAAACAATTAGTTCTAAGGGCACGAGGTTCGCACTGTGTATATTTCAGAGTTTTTACTTTGGACTGTTTGCTTCTTTAGGCTGAATGCCTGTTACTGGCTGGAGAACATCTATCTTTTATGCAAAAAGAGAGGAACCTATCTGCTTTGAGACTGCTTTGTGATGCAAATCAAAGCACAGTAAGAGCAGACGACTGGAGATTGTTTCTGAAGTGCACCCTTGATCAAAGCCTTGATGTGAATGTATTTTTAATCTCTTGGTACAACTATCATAGCACACAGAAAAGCCTGACATTTGCAGATGCTTTTTACATGCAGGATTTGATTGGGTCATTGGACAAACAAATGAAGACTCAGAAATGTCCTTTTAAGATTTTATAATATCTTTATGAAATTCAAATACAAATCCCACACAACAAAGTAGTTTCAGAACCTGCTTTATTCAGGACATTGCCTATAATGAATATATTCTTGCTACCCCCTAGTTGTTTGTTGGTTCATTAGTTGTTTTTTTTCCAAGGCAAAAAAGGCGCTTAGGTAGAGTACGTGCACTGGCAGAGTATATGTATCAAGTTTTAATTCAATTTTCACCCAATTAACATAATTCTTAGTATTCTTCTCTGTTATTCAGCCTTCTGAATGATCATTCCTTGTAATTGTAGCTTTTGAAATATTCTATGTCTACAGTGCTTTTCTCTGTAATTAGGTGATTTTAAAGAGATTTACAGGTAGATTATATTTTCCTTACTGTATCTTTCAGAAAAAGGTATTGCATGCATGCTACTACATGTGTGCATATCTATGTAGAAAAAGAAATGCTTGCATTTTTTTATTCCTATATTAACCAGTTATTAACTCTGTTGAATTAGTAGCCTTTCTGCTCTGAAGTTCTAAAGGGAAAATATGTATCCATTTTTTCATCAAATAAGTATGATCAGGGAAATCTACAAATTCCTGAATATCTGTCCTGAAGCAGATATCTCACTGCCAGTCTGATGAATAACTATTTTAGCTATATTTAAAAGTGAGAGATCAATTACCTGAAGCACCTTCAGAAACAAATGGGTAAAGATCAACATTTGGGTGTTTTAGAGCACATTTCAATTACTGTACCATAGACTTCTTACACCTTAAGTAATCCTTCCTGGCCTCCAACTTCTGCTTCAATAAATTGTGGACCTCTCCCAGTTTCGTAACTCTAGGCAATGTGAGGATTTTACCTTACACTTTCAATCACACCAGCCAACTATTTAGATTTATACTGAATTCCAACCCTAGTACTGATTTACGCAACAAATTTTTATTTACTCTGTCTTTTTATTTTTGTTCTGAAAATGAGATTTAAAGAATTGTTTTACACATCTTTTGGACACATCTCATTTCCGTGAAATTATTTGAGTTTGAACAATATCTATATGTCTACAACTAGAAGAAAAATCAGAAGGACAATCCAGGGAACTGTGGATCTTGTCAGCCTGACCTTTGTATCAGGAAAGTTCATGGAGCAGATAATCTTGAGTGCACCACATGCACATACAAAACAACCAGAGGTTTATATTACAACCAGGTCCTGCTTAACCAATTTGTTCTTCTTTTATGACAAAGAGACCTGCTTAGTAGATGAGGGAAAGACTGTGGATGTCATTTATCTAGACTTCAGTAAAGCCTTTGACACCATCTTCCACAGCATTCTCCTGGGGAAACTCACTGCTCATGGCTGGGATGGCTGTGCTCTTCAGTTGGAGAAAAGCGTGTTGGATGGCTGGGCCCAGAGAGTGATGGTCAGTGGAGCTAAAATCACTTGGTGGCCAGTCATTAGAGTTCCCTAGGAGCTAGTACTGGGGTTGGTCTTGTTTAATATCCTTATCAACAACCTGGATGAGGGGATTGAGTGCACCCTCAGCCAGTTTGCAGAGGACACCACATTGGGTGGGAGTGTTGATCTGCTGTAGGGTAGGAAAGATCTACAGAGGGATCTGGACAGGCTGGATTGATCTATGGACACCTGCATGAGGTACAAGGTGAAGTTTTTTGTTTTTTCCCCTCACTTCTCTTCATGCCTTAGCATTCAGAGAACCTGTTTCACAAATTGGTATTCTTAATTCAAAAATCCTGAGGAAATCTTCATTGGAGTTGTAAGTTGAATCCTAGTGTCTTCACCTGAGGCAGAAAACTGATCAGTCTGTTTATGCCTTATAATTCACAGAAATCTGTTGGTGGTTATTAACTGGTGGAGTTTGAATCAGATTCAATGAAACAGACAGAAAAAAAGATACTGGATATTATTGAGACTCAGAATACCGATCTCTCTGACAACTTTTTTGGTGCAGTGTAAAATTGTTAATATCACAGTCCAAAAGTCCCCAATGAGCCATAATGGCAGAATTAATTTCCATGAGCTTTTTTCTGAGACTTTCTACATATTCATATTTGCCCTTGGTTCATGTTTTAAGACTATTTTTGCAATCATATAATGAAAAATGTTGTTAATAAAAAGAGAAAAGTGCTATTCTGTACTAAAATAGACAAAAAAAAATCTACAACAAATGTTTTGATTGTAGCACTTTGGAATAGTCTTTTATAATAATGATGGACAGTTTGTAGTAATAGAAACAAAATTGATATATGCTTGCAACTATGATTTTATAGATAATACAGAATATTGGAAAATCAAGAAATATTTTATGCTGTCATTTCACACTTTTTTTTTGTGTGTGTCTGTTATATATCTTCCTTAGGAA